GGCTATTTTTTTTGGTTGCAGCTGTCATTGTTGTTTGGCGGGTCCGGGTCGAACCCGCCACCTTAGGTGTACGTGGCTGGCGCCTTAGCCGGTTGAGCTATAGGCACCGAGCCCTCGGAGTTGTTTTGTAAAAATCTTTTACCTGTACGTGTACAAGCAAATTATCGGTGCTGAGGAGAAGGGCTTGCTTATTCAGGGACTTTCCTAAATTTAGACTCTGCACGGTGCTAACTAGGAACGGAATGAAGGTATCTCCTTTACACCCTTCCCTAGCCCTGCCTGGAACCAAATTGAGCGAAATTGGCCGCGCTCGGACTCGTGGCCGCGGATGACGCCTGCAGTAGCCGCTGGCCACCAGTAGGCGGCACACGTAACCGGCGCCGTGGAGGCGGGCCGCCCGAGCACGCCTCTCCGTAGTCCTGTGGCATCTCTCGGCTTCCGTCGATGACCGAGCAAGATGGCAGCTTCCGAGACGGTTAGGCTACGGCTTCAATTTGATTACCCGCCGCCAGCTACCCCGCACTGCACGGTCTTCTGGCTTCTAGTGGATTTGAACAGATGCCGATTTGTCACGGATCTCATTAGTCTCATCCGACAGCGCTTCGGCTTCAGTTCTGGGGCCCTCCTCGGCCTTTACCTGGAAGGGGGGCTCTTGCCCCCAGCGGAGAGCGCGCGCCTGGTGAGAGACAACGATTGCCTCAGGTGCGCGCGGTGCGGGCTGGGGACGCCGGGGGCGGCGAGCCGGGGATGCACCTGCGCACGCCGGGGACTGCTCTGGCCGCTAGACTGCGATGGGGCTGGGGGCGAGGAAAGGGCAGGAGATAGAATGGGAGTGTGAAAATGCACGTTAGTGAACCCCGAGATCTTGACTGGTCAAGTAAAGTACAGAGTTCAAGAATCTGAATTTTAACGAGCATCTTTCCCGCGATGCTTCTGATCACATGTGGACCACACTAGAAGCAACCCTGATGGGTTTAGGCAGGGCCGGTGTTTATTTCACCCTTGGTGGAGCAACACTTCACTTAGCTGGGCGCTGTGTTACTGTTCCGTTCGCATGGTACTCTTGAGTGGAGACCTGGCCTTATCTTTGGTGGCGTTCAGGGTCAGGTGCAGGAGACAGACCCAAGCGGACAGAGACCAGTCATGTTTTACACATAACGAGTGTGTTGTCCCACCTTAGTTCTCTTGTGCCTGGTATCCCCTGAGACTAATGGTGGATATTCTGCATTCAACCAGGTGTTTGGGGGGTTCACTCAAATATGTGTTTGGGTCCTTTTGGACTGGGAATTGAGAAACTCAAAATAATTTTACATGTTTTTGGGAATTAAAACAATGCACTGAGGTTAAGTATTCAGGAGCAAACAGTATGCATTGCTGATGTGTTAGTCAAGTTGTCTCAGTAAGATGGTGAGATGTGGTCATTCCAGTTCAGATTTGTATCTTGGACTGATATATTTGGGGCTTTAAAAAAAAATTTAATCTTTAAGCTTCAATTACAGTGAATTAACTCCAGAATTGTGCTACTTTCTCTTGCTTGCCTTGGTTGTTGATGATTCCTTTCCGCAAAGCATGTCAGATTCCTAACATTTATGTTTGAAACAGTGACTACATGTTTGAGTGTCTCAAATCATAAAAGGTATGATTTATTAATAATATTCAACTTTTTTTTTTTTTTGGTAGAGACAAGAGTCTCACTTTATCGCCCTTGGTAGAGTGCTGTGTCATCACACTGCTCACAGCAACCTACAACTCCTGGGGGCTTAGGTGATTCTCTTGCTTCAGCCTCCTGAGCAGCTGGGACTACAGGCGCCCACCGCAATGCCCATCTATTTTTTTGTTGCAGTTCCATCGCGGCTGCGTTTGCCACCCTTGCTATATGGGGCCGGCGCACTACCCACTGAACCACAGGCACCGCCCAACATTCAGCTGTTTTAAATGACAACTTGAAATAATCCAAATTTCAAAAAGTTCGTTTTTCTTTTTATTGACTGTGAACTAGGTCTTTATTTTCCCCGCAATTCAGGGACTATTTAAATATTACAATTGTGGCTCGGCGCCTGTGGATCAAGTGGCTAAGGCGCCAGCCACATACACCTAAGGTGATGGGTTGAAATCCAGCCCGGCCTGCCAAACAACAATGACGGCTGCAACCAAAAAATAGCCAGGCGTTGTGGGGGCGCCTGTGGTCCCAGCTACTTGGGAGGCTGAGGCAGGAGACTCACTTGAGCCCAGGAGTTGGAGGTTGCTGTGAGCTGTGATGCCATGGCACTCTACCCAGGGGGACAGCTTGAGGCTCTGCCTCAAAAAAAAAAAAAATAAAATAAAATAAATAAATAAATAAATATTACAACTGTAAGGACTGTATTCTGTTCTATTAAGTTTACCTTCTGCACTGCCCCCTGCCTAATGAGTTAATAACTTGCAGCTAGCTAAACTACAGTTATACTTCAATTAATGAATTATCTGAGAATTACATTCTTTTCTAAAACATTTTAACTTCTCTGAATACCATTCCCAAGGAATTACACGCTTTATAATGAAGTTAACAATGTCAAAAACAAACTGTGAAAACTGTTATAAGTAATAATAACAGCACAATGACAGGTAACTTCCTCTTAAATGCTTCAGGTGCACATTGCATATGGCAAGAAATTCCTCTGCAGTTGGCTTCAGTGGTAAATGTGGGGAAACTTCAGGTAAAACTGAATTGGAAAAATTTTGGTTTTGTTGTCACAATCATTCTGTCTTTCCTTGATGGATTCACTTTTCTTCAGAGCTATAGAAGAAAACATAGTCTTTATTCCCAGAGGTACCTAATCTTGTTGGAGTAGACCAAAATACTAGTTTCATGCTTCTGTATGTTCTGTGATGCAAGCAATTAGACTGAATAGTTAGACCAGGTTATGCTGCTAAGCACAGAAAATTGTTGAGAAAGGAGAGATTGGTATGGAACAAAAATGGTCAAAGAATACAGCAGTACTTTGAACGATGGGTAGGAAATGTTAGGTGGCCAAAGCACAGTTGGCAGGCATAAGCTGACCTGGCATGGTAAAGAGATGAGTCTGACCAGCCAAAGGATTCTCTTGGGAGAGCTGAGAGTACGGAGGGAAGTCTGTTGAGGGAAAGTGGAGCCACATTGTGGAAATCCTGAGAAATAACCTTTGAGGCTTGAGGGGCATGACCACACTTCTATGCCACAGCCATTTCCTTCCTCATATTCTATTCTTTTGAGTCCCCAGAATCTGAACCTGGGCTTCTAACATGGAGCTCTTAAAGGTCCTCTCTTAAATTCCCTGGGAGGAGGAAGTTCTCCCATTTGCTTGGAGACGCCTCTATTAGTTTGCTAACACTATTGTAACAAAATATTGTAGACTGGGTGGCTTGATTTTTTATTTTTTTTTATTGAGACAGAGCCTCAAGCTATCCCCCTGGGTGGAGTGCCATGGCATCACAGCTCATAGCAACCTCCAACTCCTGGGCTCAAGCGAGTCTCCTGCCTCAGCCTCCCAAGTAGCTGGGACCACAGGCGCCCGCCACAATGCCCGGCCATTTTTTTGGTTGCAGCCATCATTGTTGTTTGGCGGGCCCAGGCTGGGGATTCGAACTCACCACCTTAGGTGTATGTGGCTGGTGCCTTAGCCGCTTGAGCCACAGGCACCGAGCCTGGGTGGCTTGATTGAAAGAAATTTATTTCTGGGCAGCACCTGTGCCTCAAAAGGGTAGGGCACTGGTCCCATATACAGGAGGTGGTGGGTTCAAACCCAGCCCCGGCCGAAAACTGCAAAAAGGAAAAAAAGAAAGAAAGAAAGAAATTTATTTCTTACCTTCTGGAGGTTGAAAGTCCAAGATCATAGTGTTGTCAGGTTTGGTTTCTTCTGAGACCTTTCACTTTGGTTTGTAGACGTGTTCTCATATGGTCTTTTCTCTGTGGATGTGCATTTCTGGTGTCTCAAATTTTCTCTCTTACAAGGACACCAGATAGGATTAGGATGTACCCTAATGGAGTCATCGTAACTTAATCATCTCTTTAGAGCCCCTCTGGTCACATTCTGAGGTACTGGGGGTTAGGGCTTTAACGTATGAATTTTAAGGGGACACAGTTCAACCTATTCCTGAGGGTTTCACAGGAGCCAGTCTGCAGGAACTGGTTTGGATGGCTGCCAGGCAGAATGGGAAACTCAGTATCATTGTGTAAGGAAACAAAGTATATTTTTTCCTCCCTCACACTTTCAACTCTCTGTGGCATTTAATACCTGATCAAATGTTAGAGATGGGTTTTTGTGTCATCCGACTGTAGGTAATGTCTTCTTGGATATCTAATAAAGTTCCCCCCAAAATGTCTGTGAGTTGGCCAGATGTGATTTGCGCTTGTAGTTTCGGCCACTTGGGTGGCTGAGGCAGGTGAGGCTGGGAGTTTGAGTCCAGCTTCCGCAACATAGTGAAAATCTGTCTCTAAAACAAATACATATGTATATAGAGATATAGATATAAATAGATAGATAATAACAAAATGTCCGTGAGGGCTGGCAGTGGGAGTTAGGAGGACAGAGTGTCTGATTCAGGTTGAGGATCATTTGGTTTCCTAAAACTTTGAATACCCAAAACAGTTGCCTGGCTTAGTTCAGCTCTGGGTCCCTTGACTCTAAATATTATTTCACAGCATACTACTAGTTTCTGGGATGTAAAATACTGAAAGCTGCTCTCTCACATATCTAGGAGATGTATATCTAAAGCCTATGGGTAAACCGAGACTAATAGATAGGCTTTGGCTGCTTTTATTTCTAGAACTTTCTCTTGTCCCTTTCCATTCAGCTATTAAAACAAACAAACAAAATGCCTGACAACAATGTTTAAAAAATTATATTAATACTTCAAAATAGTCCAAAGTAAAAGTAGTCTATTTTGGATGGCGCCTGTGGCTCAGTGGGTAGGGTGCCAGCCCCATATACCGAGGGTGGTGGGTTCAAACCCAGCCCCCACCAAACTGCCGCAAAAAAATAGCTGGGCATTGTGGCGGGTGCCTGTAGTCCCAGCTACTAGGAGACTGAGGCAAGAGAATTGCCTAAGCCAGGAGTTGGAGGTTGCTGTGAGCTGTGACAACATGGCACTCTACCGAGGGCTATAAAGTGAGACTGTGTCTCACTGAGGCTGACAGGTTCGAAACTAGGCTGGGTCAGCTAAACAACAATGACAACTGTAACAAAAAATAGCCAGGCGTTGTGGTGGGCTCCTGTAGTCCCAGCTATTTGGGAGGCTGAGGGAAGAGAATTGCTTAAGCCCAGGAGTTTGAGGTTGCTGTGAACTGTGATGTCACGGCATTCTACCAAGGACAACAAAGTGAGACTCTGTCTCAAATAAATAAATAAATAAAAATTGGCAGGTACTATCAAATTGGCCTCCAGAAAAGTTGTACAGGTCTGTACAACATAAAAAAATCCACCAACTTCTCTGTCCAAGGACTAAGAACAATTAGAGCTAACATTCGGATAGCACTTGTTCTGAGCCAAGCATGCTATAAATATATAATACTCCAGATGACTGTAATTATTATCATTATCCCTATTTTTATAGAAAGGCTGAGGTAATGATTTTTTAAAAAATTTAATTTTAGGCTCAGCGCCTGTGGCTCAAGCGGCTAAGGCGCCAGCCACATACACCTAAGGTGGCGGGTTCGAATCCCCAGCCCG